CACTTTATATCAGTAAAATGTCCCCACTGATGGAGCGTGAGCCATTTCTTCACTGATAGTCCAATAAACACTGAGAAATCCATTCATTTTAAAATGAAAAGGAAACACTTGAAATGTATTTAGTTTGCCCCATCTCCTCTTAACTCAGTCTTCCTCTTCAGAGGTCTCTGTCCTCAATGTTCCTACTTGTCTGGCTGTTCTTGGTTGAAATATGAAATACCCATCACTTTGCCCAAATATCAGGAGGAGCAGTGCTATGTTGATCTTGAAGTGTCTTCCGTCTGCTTCTGTCAGGAGCCCGAGCGCTGCTATCAAGCCTACTGTCATGTAAAACAGAGAGCCTTGAAACTGCGTGCTGTTCTGTAGCTTCAGCTGGCAGAGGTATAGCTTTGTGTGTGTGTGTGTGTGTGTGTGTGTGTGTGTGTGTGTGTCTTGCATATAAGGTAAGCACATCTCAGTTTGAGATTAATATCTCCTCCCGGCTGCAAGTGAGCCCCTTTGTCCCTGTTGCACCCTCACCTTGTGACTTGGCTCATGCTGCTTTAGCAAATTGGGGCCATATTTACAGTCGGGGCTTTTAGAAGCATCTTAGCAGGTATATACCTACCAAACAGCAAATCACTTGTCTCACCAAGCATTAAACAGATCCTACTCTTTTTTTCTCTGATATATGATGCGTGCCAAAGTATGCCAAATGTATTTAATTTCCCTGCAACCTGTGTCTGCAAGCTGGCACCGTCTGATATCTTAGTTAACTCAGTGATGAGTAAGCACACAGTGAACACACTCAGCTGTGATGTAAATAGAAGGATTCAGAGCTGCGCCATTCTTAATTAATGCCTATGCTAATTTGGAGGTCTAGTCTCAGAACAGGGTTGGAGTTAGCCAAAATATACTGTAATCTAAAAGCCAAACACACGAGGAGACATTAGCAATTATGACAAAGTTATTATCTGTGTGTGAGGCGGGCAACTAAAGACACAGCCACAGCCTACATGATGCTATAACCAGCAGCCAGCTAGCTTTGCTTAGTATAAAGACTAGAAACAGGGAAACTAACTCTGAACATAAAATCACCTCTGTATCTCGGAAACTCACACATTAACATGTTGTATCTAGTTCAAATGTGGAGAAAAAAAGACTGTAGTTTAACAGGACATATGTGCTGCAAAGTTTGTTTTCTTCAGCCTGACCTGCAAAAAGATTCTGCCTCTCAGATGAAAACCATTGAACATAATATAATAGTCAAAGTGCAACATCTAAGTGATCATTAAGCATCTACTGGCAGGAAACATTACATGCATATGGAAGGCGATTCCAACAATTGCAGATTTTAGATGCTTTTAAGACAGTGATGAAAACTTCCCCTCATGCTTTTCTATTTTGGCTCTAGACATTTCTAGCTGTTCATTATGTGTGCACAGAATGAATCCCATTCCCTCACTATGAAGTTCTGATCACAGAGCAGCTGTTCTCTGTCCCACTAATTTAAAATCACAATGAATATGAAAATGTATGAATAAACTGCCAGAATTGAATTAATTGTGAAGAGGTTATCTGTCAGTGGAGAAAAGATACTGTTGTTTGGCCGATGGTCCAAATCTCAGATGATTTCTTTTACGTTCATTATCCAAATGTACTCTGACCGAGACTAAACGTCAGAGAGCCTGTGCTGTGACTGTAGCCAATTCTGCATGTTAATACCAACAATAAAGCAGTGTGTTGTGATGAGCATTAGCAGAGGTTGAGGGCCTGGTTTGGTGACAGCGAGCTGATTAAACAGCCCGGTGATGAATGGTCCCGGAGCCTGGCTGTGAAATGGCCTGCGTTTGCTGCCGCTCGTGGTTGATGGCCCATACTCTGCTGCAAGCATGTCACAACGTACAGCTGATGAGCTGCATCAGCAAGTATGAAACTGAAGAACAAACCTCTGCAGATGAAGAAAGAGTGAAGGCCTTGAGTGTTGGAAATCACTGCCGCTTGACTCAGCCTGACATTTGTTGCTGTTTGACCTACTGCTCTTATCAAAAATCCATCTCTGAGTGCTTAAGAAAATAACATTTTTTCCCCCCATCTGGATGTTTTCTTCATAGGTCAACACCTCAGTCCAATCTTCCCGTTTACCAAAACTCCCACTCAGCGCCTCAACCCCTCCAACCTAAGTAGCCCAGGCCTGCTCTCTAAAGTAATAAGTAAAATCTTCATGAGTTTGCTCTTGTCTGTTTGTTATTCCTTTGTCTGTCTAAAAGGATGTCACTGTGATTTATATCAGAGGGTTTAATATGCTGAGGGAAGGCCATTTTTGGTTCCAGTGAACAACCGAAACCCAAGGGAGCCGTGACAGTCAAGCTATGATATGTCCCCTTGTTGAGTGGGGAGACAGTACTCCTTTGTCTGCCAGCTGCAGGGTCCACTGCAGCTGAGTGTAGCTCTTTTTATGAGCGTTTAGGGCATTTTAACAGACTGAATTTACCTTGAAATAAATCTGTTGTTCTCCACACACAACAACTTGTATTTCTCCCTGTCCTGAATGACCCAAGGATGACAATAAGAAGCCGTGTCTTCATTGACGCCAAAGAACACAATGTTTTAACCAGAATAAGAGCTGTTGAGCTGGAAAGGGTCTTTGATAAAATTTTGGACAAGATGTGGCTTGTGCAGCTGGCTTTCACTCTCACATGGGGAAGATGATCGTTTGCCAAAGTGCCTTGAGCGTTAGATGAGCAATTTGTTTTGCGAGCACAGTGAAAAGTTGAAGTCGTGGGTTGTAAACATTTATTGCAGTTTACTGCCTGTGTTTGCATTATGGTCGTGCACCACCTGGAGTGTTGGAGATAAACTACTGGTGTGTTTTCTTATTGTCAGAAGTTTCTACATTTGAATTCAGTTTAGTGGCTATACATAGGGAAAACTGTACATGGTTTAACTGCAGCAAATATTAGTGTTGACGACCCCAGATACAAGCCAGCAATCTTATTTGGACAAGCAAATGAAGTGCGTGACCTCCAGCGTTTTGTCTTGGAGAGCATACTGTGAGTGTGTTTAATACGTTTGGAATGGGAGATAATAGATAAACATTTACAAAGATGGTCAAAAACAGTGAAGGACAAGAAGTATGTAAGCAACAGATAAACAAATATGTGAGGACCTATACCCTGTTTCTTTGGTGAACTCTAGAGGATTGTCTTATTGTTAGATATGAAATAATCACATTCAGTCAGTCCAGTACAGACTGGGCCCCAACAATCCTGGGGCACAAAGCTTGGAAGTCTAACACATACATTTTGCCTTTCATGTTGTGTGTTGAGAAGTTTACCTCACATTAAATCAAATTGAAAAGGGACCAATTGTCAGACATCTTGCCTGTTCAAAAAAGTGCCTCTAAAAATCAGCCCAAACTTCTTCAAAATCTTCGTTTCACAGTAATAAGCAGCACAGATTATTGTAATACTGGAGAAGATGCTATTATTAAAAAAAAAAAAAAAAAAAAAAAAAAACAAATGGTAACATTTGA